GTATGCTTCTGACTCCTGCAAAGCAGGCATTGGGATTGCTTCAGGGGGAACGACCAGTTGCCAAATGCGGTTTAGGAGTTTGGGATTGAATTTAGGAAGTTAGGGTGGAGTAGGTTCCCAAAAACCAAGAACCGCAAACTTTATGGGCACAGCCTGGTACAAAGCCACGTCGAAGCTGGCAAAATGTCCATCCACATGATTCGCCTCCGTGATGGATCCGATTCAAGCACTTGACCCTGACCCTGAGAAATAAGCTTAGCCTGTGCTGTTTTGTGACATGTTCGGCGGCGGCAAAGCTACTAGACCTCCCCACTGTCTCACAGATCTAGCAATCGGCAAGACGTGCCACATGGTTGAAGAAAGTGGTTTTTAGATCGCATGATTCGGGTAGGGCCTGGGTAGATCCTCATGATGAAATCATCCTCTCCATGCCTAAACGCGACCAGCACTTCTTTCGCCTTTCTTTGGTCCCGGTTGCGATACCCGCAAGTTTTTTGACTCTGCACTCCAGCGTCGTCAGCTCCGGGACCCAAACTGCCCAGAGCCTACGAGCCAAAGCAGCCCCCGAAGAGAAGTTTGGAAGCACACCATCCTGAACACTGCAAGGCCTTGGGGCTTTGAGCCCTAAACACCACAAAAAACAGCGGTGCACATCAGAAAGCTGGTGTTGTCAGCAGAGCCACCTCGTTCAGGTCAATGGTGGCTGTGGCTTTGCCTGGCGTGCAACTGATCGTCGGCGTCCCCGGAATCCCTACCAGGAAGACGCTTCATCCCAACTCCATAGTGCTGAGCAAGTATCCTCAACCCCTCTGTCATTTCAGACCGCCAGAAACTTCAACTTCCGAAAAGCCCGCCTCCACCTGACCTACAAACCCCCCGCCAAGGCTCTAACTTCCTGACCCTTTAGCTATTCAGGGAGCACTTAGCCTGTGTGCTGAGGTTGGTTAGGGTTCGGGGTTTAGGGCTTGTAGTGCGTAAGTGTCAGGTTCAAGGGCTTCGCAAAGACGCCCTTGTACGAGCAGTTTTATCATGGCGATATAAGAGAATGTCCAGGGGAGTAGAAGAACCCTCAACCCCAAACTCTGAACGAAAGCTCTCCCACAAAAGGCTCAGGCTACCAAGGCTCAAAACAGGAAGTTCCACAGTGACCCTGCAGTGAAAAAGGTACCACTCTTGGCCTGGCGAGTGCCTTGAAACTCAACGAAAACCCTAATTAAACCCCAAACCCTAAACCCTAAATCTTGCACCCTAAACCCTAAACCCTATCAACCCTAAACCCTAAGTCCTACAAGCCCACAGCGGGCCACCTCCATCTGCGCCATGCTCGATGACGTGTCGATTCCAGCTCTCTCTGCTCTGTACCTGGGTAGTACTCGGTACAGTAGGGTTGAGGGTGCAGGGTTTCGGGTTTAGGGGTTTAGGGTTTAGGGTTAGGTAGGGCAGGGTTTGGAAGCTCAAGGTAAACCGAATGTAGCCGACATTTGCTTTTCTTTCGGCAACTTTCGTAGTTGTTGGGTGTAGTTACCATCAGCGCACTAAACAACTCCAGCTAAGTTGCTTAGGGTTTGAGGGCTTGCTGAGGGAGAGTTGTGTACCTCCCAAGTCCTCGACTCTCAACACCTACATCAAAATCCACGGCAGAGCCCCCCAAAAAGCATAAATCCCTTACACCCACCAACCTGAATCTCTCAATCTGGAGGCTGGGAAAAGAGCCGCCACGGCTCCACAGCGCTTCTGGGTTCTCGCGGCTTCTCACGTCTTAGGGCGCCCAGCTTGTCCTGACCAAACCTCCTCAAATGCACAGCCCAACATGCCGACCCTGGCCCACACTAAACGCTGAGCAGCACTCCCAAAAAACGAAAGTGACCGGGCTGCCGTGGCATCTACCAGTCGGCCGCTCTCCAGAAGCACGGTCCTCGGCGCAACAGGACGGGCACCCTTTCCTACTTTCTTTACGTGCATGTTGCCTCAACTGCACGCAGGTGTGCAGCCCGCAAAACCCTTCCTCATGCCGTGCTTCAGCCTTGCCAGACCCTTCAATCCTTCTAGACCTGATCGCACACATCTCAAAGGAAACAGAAGCACAATCTCGATGATCCAGATGAACCTTGACTGTGTTTGGGGGCCCTGTCACGTTGACCTTCCTAGAGAATGCTTTAATGATCTCCATCCAAATCAACCTCCGTCTCCTAGAAAGCAGAACCCTGCACCTGCCGAGGTTCAGCTTTCTGCCACCTGCCAGGGGACGCTCTTGTGGCCGACAGTCATTTCCAGAAACAACAACAACTCCAACCCAACATCCCAAAATAGTCAAGTCCATAGTCCCAGCGCTCAACTATGCTCAACTCTAACTGGCCCAGTTTCCAAGGGATTCAAGGGTATCCGGTCCTCCCGTGCCTCCCCCCCGCCCCCCTTTTTGCTTCATTGTCATGGGGCTCATGGCCACAATTGCAAAAAGATCAGGGCACTACTGGGGCAGACTCTGGTGGCGGAACTCCACGGCACGCCAGCGGGAGCAACCGGCACCTTAAAGAAGGCACCTATGTCCCATGATGAGGGACCCCTCCCTTAAGAACATTCTCGGTTGTTTAGATACTGAAGGGCTCATGGGTAGTTTTACAGGCATACAAGTGGGGTTCCAAGCTCTAAGTAGGGCAACTGCGGTTATGGCCGGTTAGAACCACAATTAAGGTACATGTAACCTTACTTGCACCTACCTTCAAGAATAGGCACGGGAGTTCTTGATTGCGTTTTTGAATGGGTAGATCCTCTTCATCCGAGCACCGCGAGGGTTTGGGGTTCAGGTTCAGGGTTTTGGTTGGGATGCTCCTCCTTTTACTAACAGTCCTATTTGGGGGGGGGGGGGGGGGGGGGTACTATAATCCCTATTAAGGCCTCCTAGTATAAGGAGACAATCCCCAGGTTTAGGGCTTATAGGGCTTAGGGAGTCGCAACAAAAAGCCGGCCTTGGTAGCAGATTGGGCTCAGCTGGATGGCCTGGCTCTGACGAATGCGGGTGTAGGCTTCTGGGGCTTCGGCTTCATCATCTGAGGGGGTTTAGGGTTTAGGGTGTAGGGTTTAGGGCTTAGGGTTTAGGGGTGAAGGTTAGGATTTAGGGTTTGGGGGTGAAAGTTTAGGGCTTAGGGTGCCCCCCCAAAACCGCCCCCCCCCCCCCCCCCCTTCCCCCTGCTAAACACGAGGATGCTCACGTCGTCGGGGTTCCTGAACATGTAAACCTGTTAAACTTTCATTGGGCAAAGCTTGGGTACGTTAATGGCGCATATCAATGACAGGGCTGATGTTCTAACTCACATTCCGGTTCAGGGAAGCAAGGGGCCTCTTTTGCATGATGCGAATGCCGCACGCGAAACAAGGGGCGCAGGGCTTGGGGTTTAGGGTTTTCAGTGGCTTCGGGGGTTCTCAGGTAGTTTGGGGTTCACGGCTAGGTTTGTGTAGGTTCAGACCTGGCGAACCCTAAGCCCTGAAGCCCTAAACCCGAAGCCTCTAAACCCTAGACACACTAAACCCTAAACCCTAAACCCTTTTTCAAGACACTAAACCCCAAACCCCAAACCCCAAACCCTAAACCCTAAACCCGAAACCCCAAACCCTAAATCCAAAACCCTAAACCCTAAACCCTAAGCCTTCTTAAAAAGCTGCCTTGGATGGTCGGGGGTCGACTTGCTCCTCCACTTTAGAGTTGTCGACGAGGACCTGCATCGAAGTGTCAAGTGTCAAGAGCTGCGAGGTTTCGGTGTTGGGAATTGCGGTTCATGGTTTTCTAAGATAGGGCCTCTCCCCTAAACCCTTAAGAAACCCATTAAACCCTTTAATCCCCATAAATCCTGTAAACTCAACAGCTGAGGCTTTAGGGGATTCAGGCATGTTCTACTGTTCAAGCTCGCCACCCTGATTCGCCCCCAAAAGGCCCTCCTGTCTAGCGATTCCTTCGCGTGAGGAGGGTTCAGGGCCTAGATTCCCCAGTAGGAGAGAAAATGGAAAATGTCATGAAGTTTCTATAAGGGATCCTCAACCCCAAAAGAAACATACTAGGGTACTATTTGGAGTCCTAGGCTGAAGGTTTACTAACTCTTAACCCAAAACCCTAAAAAGGGCCTAAGCGTAAGATGACAAGGCCAGGTCTGGCAGTTGCCGTGGGTTCGAGAGTACCCCACGGTCGGATTCAGCGCGACTCCGAAGTCTAAACTCCCAAGCCCTAAACCCTAAACCCTAAGAAACCTGATAACTCCCTACAACCCCCTGCAAAGCCCTAAGCCAACAAGCTCCTGCCTTGACGTGTCCCGACTCCTCCAACTCCGAGGCCGTCACGCACCTGCAGATGCTTAGGGTCTCTAGGGCTTGGTAGGGTTGGGTTTAGGGTTTAGGGTTTAGGGTTTAGGGTTTAGGGTTTAGGGTTTAGGGTTTAGGGTTTAGGGTTTAGGGTTTAGGGTTTAGGGTTTAGGGTTTAGGGTTTAGGGTTTAGGGTTTAGGGTTCAGGGTTTCGGGTTTAGGGCTTAAATAGGGTTTAGGGTTTAGGGTTCAGGATTTAGGGTGAGGGCTTAGGGGGCAATTTATGGTGTATGTTAAGTCGCAGAAGGCATGTGTGGACTCTTGTCTGTTTTGCCGTCAAACTCAACATCAACGCTCTCAACCAAAGGTGATGCAACACCCTCGGTGGAGCCAGAAACCTTTCTCACCACCATCCAGACTTGCTGCAGAAAGTGATGTAACAGAAGAAAACAAACGACTGGATCATACGTTGTCGCCCAAAAGCCCCCTTGGTCAGAGCCCTTCAAACACGAGCCGAGCAGGCCTTGAAATGTAGGGCAGCGAGAAGTCGTTCCTGCGAAGGCTCTCGGACCGGCGGGGACCAGAGATGAAGCAGTAGCCCACTCAGTTTTTGCGTAGTATTCGCAGAGGCTGGGAATCGGATTGTGCGCCGCTCACCTCATACCCCGATACCAAAACCCTAAACATCGCTGAGCCCCAAACCCCAAAATTCAAGCGACAGGAACTTCATCAAGCTTCGGGCTGAGGGAAGCTTTTATGCCGCAGATCAGCCAAAGCCATAGCCACACCTTTTGAACCTGGGCTTTATAGGTCTCTGGGCTTTTCGGGCTTTTCTGAGAGCCTAAAGAGTCTAAACCCTAAACCCTAACCCTAAACCCTAAAGCCCTCCCAGCGGTCGTGGAAAGGAGGCCAAGGCGTGATCCCGGCTTGCAGAGGAAGGCCTGAGGAGCTTCGACTGCTCGGGAGCCGATGCGACATCAACATGCCAAACGCCAAACCTATGTGGGTGGTTGTCAAAAATAAATCCTTTTTGGGGTACCCAAAAAAAATTTAGGTGCCGTATCATAATGGGGATCCAAAAAGGGACAATGATTTTGCCAACCACCCATGTGTGTATAGATACGCACACCCAAGATGCACACACACACACACACAAAAGACCCATGAAAGTGAAATACGAACTCTAAAGTATAAATAGTCCGTTCGACGTTTATGTTTTGGACCGCGCCCTCTTTGCCGAGGACCCGCTCCTTCCCATTAAAATTAAGGAACGCTCCTTAGTCCATGCAAGGATACTTCTGCGATCTTAAGGAATATGTCATGCAACCACAAAAACAATAAAGAATCCCCCTCTTGAAGCACATTCGGCATCTCATGGTAGAATGATGTAGAATTGAGTAACCCTAAACCATAAACTCTAAACCCTAGACAGGGGCATTCAGGGTTAGATTCCCTACATCCGTTTGGGCTCCTTAAGGGTAGGACCTGCGACTCAAATGCGCCTGGCCGGTGCACTTCACCTCCACCCTGGGCCGCCGCTTCCGGATCTGGCGCCAGGAGGGGGTTTAGGGTTTAGGCCTTACTTCAAGGTTCGTGGGAGGTTGTAAGTAGGGCTTGACACAGGGTGCACACGCAGGATGGCGAACGTCATGCCTATTCAGTCAGGGTGCATATCCCCCACAAAAAACATGAATGTCCAGGTATTATAAGCCCCATCATCATCATCATCATCATCATCATCATCATCCAACCCTAAATAGGGGCTCTAGGGTGCGACAGCCAATCCTCGTTTTGGGGGGTGCTGATTTCGAGTCAATGTGGACATATGGACAAGAGGTCCTTCACATCGTAGATTTGGGGCTTCGAGACTTCCAGTGGGGGACTGGATGTCCAATGTCTAAACCGTGAGCCTGTACAAGCAAAAACACGTGAACTCCACAAGCTCTAGGCCCAAGTCTCCACAACAAAAACACACACTAGGGTTTAGGGTTTAGGGTTTAGGGTTTAGGGTTTAGAGTTTAGGGACCACTAACACTCGCAGCTGAGGGCCTTGTTACACCTTCATTGCCGGAGCCTCTCAGTGCATTAGCCAGTTCTCACCCCGAACACCAACATGTCTGAAGCGTTGACAAGGCTGCGCCCTGCCTTGGACCTTCTTGATTAAACAGAAACATTCCTTCAGCCTGAAGGGACTCCCTCCCCGTTCAATGGTCTTAGAGAAAACCTACTTTGGCTATTGGGCGGGGTATGGCGCATTCTGATCAAGGGATGGACGTCTTCGATCCCCTGGTCTCTCGACCATCAGCCCAACCCCCACCAGCAACAAGTCGAGTATACAGCCCCACAGCCAGGTTTTTTCTTGCGCGAAAGCAAGAAGAAGCAACTGAACCCGAAAGACCTTAAGCCCGGAAACAGAATATAAACCCTTCAGCAAGGCGCGAAACCCTAGTAACAAGACTTGTTAATTAAGGGATATGCAACCCTATACATATATATATATATATTGCATAGTCCCTATATACCTAAGTAGCCCCTACATTACCAGGTCTCTTATAAGGGTCCCTGAAACCATAACCCCCGCCCCCCCCCCCCCCCCCCCCCCCCCCACAAAAAAAAAAAAAACTCAAGGCCGGCGGCCCGCTGTGGGTCAGCGCAGACCGCGCCGCGCTTGGCGGCCTGCTGGCGCCTCTGGCGGTTGGGGACTTCCAGGGTTTTAGGGGTTTTGGTCTTTGGTGATTGTTTGGGGCTCTTTCATTTTATTTTTTTGGGTGGAATTGGTTTTGAGTTTCAAGCCCCTCCCTTCAATTGATCTTCAGCCCTCCCCGAACTGCGTATTCCCAACAAACAACTGACAATCATACTGGGTTGAAAGCAATTGTTCCAAAAAGAGTCGCCAGGGGGATTGAAGGGGTGTGTGCGGCTTCGGGCTTCAGAGTTTCAGAGTCTGACGGCTTTGGAGGTCAAAGTCTCAGGGGCCGAGCTTCTTAGGGTTTAGGGTTGCGGGGACATGGGTCGAGAGTTGAGGTCTAGGGTTTGGGAATGACCACAACGGAGGAATCCAGCTCTTATAGGGTTCTTAAGGGAACGTTAGGGAAGCTTAGGGAGCCTTAGGGAGTAGTAGGGAGGAGTAGGGAACCTTGGGTTACATACCCCCCGTGAAGCCCCCCCCCCCCTTCCCTTAAGAACCCTGTAAGGCTGCTAGGTGCTGGGAGGCTTCACCCAACCTTGGGCCTTGCTACCTTTCTTTGGGCGTTGGATCTTGGAGTTCATACCAACATGTTTTTTTCGCATGCAACACAGTCAACCGTACAAAAGGGCCTTGTTTTTTAGGGGCTCTGGGGTTTTTAGCGGTTTATAACTATAGGGTATGATAGCCCCCAGTTTGAACATCATGCCGGCGAACTCTTACAAAAGGGGAAACATGAACCTCTTGCCCGTCACCAGCTCCGACAGCTCCGCCACGTTGGCCATGGTGGCGGCTACCTGCCCGTGGTTTGAACGTGCTACTGGCGTATAAACCCCCGCGCGTGTTGTCTCCGTCGCTCGGCAACCGCAAGTTGCGTGTTTTTTGGGCATATGGGAGCTGAGGGAAGTTCACAGGGCTCACACAAAAAAAAAACTGCACACCCTCAACTAAAGCCCTAAGTCTGAAGCTCTAAAGCCCCAAATCTGAAGCTACAGTACATGAAACACAGCACAAATTCTGAAGCTACAGTACATGAAACAAACCCCAAACCCGCAACTTGGGATGTGCCCTCTTACATATACTAGCAGTCCTCAATCGGGATTATAGTACCCCCATTATCATTCCCATTAAGGACGGTTAGTATAAGGGGAACATCCCCGAACCCAAACCCTAAAACCCCAAAATCCTAAATCCCTAACCCTAAACCCCTAAATCCTAATCCCTAAATCCCTAAACCCTAAACCCCTAAATCCTACACCCTAAACCCTAAATCCTAAACCCTCCACCCCGTGAAGCGGACATCTTCTGCCTCGAGGTGGCAATGCCCATTGCCCTGCAGGAGCCGCCAGAAGTTGGGCTGGTAACACCATCCTCCGGGTGCTCAGCTTAGGGTTTAGGGTTTAGGGTTTAGGGTTTAGGGTTTAGGGTTTAGGGTTTAGGGTTTAGGGTTTAGGGTTTAGGGTTTAGGGTTTAGGGTTTAGGGTTTGGGGTTTGGGGTTGAGGGTTTAGGGTTTAGGGTTTAGGATTTAGGGTTCAGGGTTGAGAGTTTTGGGTTTAGAGTTCAGGGTTTAGGGTCCTCCGGGTTCAGGGTTTAGGGTTGGGTCCTCCGGCTGCTTCCCATATCTTTCAGAGTCCTTCGAGAACCTCTCGTGCCCTTATACATGCATACCCTATTCTGAATGCCTCCAAAAAGAGGCTAGCCAAGTAAGTTTCCAGACCGTATAAAACCCTAAACCACGTTTGGGTCTTCAAGGTTTTGGGGGGTCCGGTACTGTTGGGATTCTAGAGTTCATGTGCTCGCTAGATTTTATGTGCTCGGGGTCCAGGGTCTCTGCAACGAAGGGTGAGAACCTGCCCACTTATGTAACCCCCAAAAGGTAGGGCACCTATTTGGGGTGTCCTGATAACGGGTGGTCTATTATGTTTGGGGTAGCTATGGATTTGCAACTCATGTATGAGAGACTCTCAGAACCATCCGGGGAAGAAGTCCTTGCGGCGTCTTTCGGTCCTTATTCCGCTTGACCACCTGCGATTTTGCCGGGCTCAAGGGTGGCTGCTTCGGGCTTCCGATATAAGGACACCCTGTCTTTGGAGATACCAAAAAGGATGGTTGTGCTTTTTGGGGAGGGGCAAATAGTTAATTTGCACAAGAGGAGTTCCCAATGTTTTTGCAAACTGCCAATGTTGGGGCGCGTGAAACAAAAACGCCCAGAAACTACGCACCTCCTCTGATTGCTTCAACATCTCTTGGACTTCCGCTGTCGGCGTGGCACGGAAGGGCACCACCACCTGCACCAGGGGCAAAATGGATTTCAGGGCTCAGGCAGCGTCTCAGGGGTTGACTTGGGAATCCTGCTAAACCCTGAACCCAGAACCTTAAACCCTAAACTTCAACACCACGACGCACCGAGAGCCACCTTCCCGTCGGGGTCGCAGCTGGTCGCGGGGGCGCGGGCATTGACCTTCTCATCGCCATATGTCCAGTGGAAGTTACCTTAGCAGAGCTCAGAGGTACTGTATATCAAGTGTCATGGGCTGGGAGATGACGCAAAGTCTGTTTCGACCCTATATTTATACATCCTCACCTTGCGCACTTTCCTTGTCTTTACCTACTGGTTCTGAGTCGGGACTGCGGGAATTAGGTCGGTTTTAGGGTTTAGGCTTTAGGGTTACAGGGTTTAGGGTTTAAGGTGACCAGGGTTAAGGGCTTAGGGTAGCGAAGTTTAGGGTTTAGGGTTGGGATGTTCCCCCTTATACTAACAGTCCTCAATAGAGATCATAGTACACCCTATTAGAAGCCTATTAAGGACTGTTAGTCCAGGGGGAACATCCCCAGAGGTTCAGCGCCAAGAGGCCCGTCTCATCATCTTCCCAAACTTCCTTGACTTCGAGTAGCTCCTCCAAGTGCCATAAACCCTAAACAATAAGCCCTAAACCCTAACCCAAAAACAACGGAAGTTCGAATCCTTCTAAATCCTAAACGCCGAAACCCCCGTGAAGCAAGGTTTTTTTCTCAGCTTTGCACTCCATTCTTCTGCCCTTTGGAGCTTCAGCCCTGACCCTCGAACAGCGGCATCTACGAACCCGAAGTCTGCATCCAAGCATGACATACCTGGGATGCCTTTAATGGGTTTTGGGTTTAGGGAATAGGGACAGCGTATTGTCACGCGTGTACCGTAGAGGGTTTAGGTCCGGGTGCCCTCTCATGGACGCTGTTTACTGGTAACGCAGACATGACAGATGATTGAGTTCTAAGACCTGCTGCTTCCCACCCGCCTGCTGCAAGAAACAACCCATATTGGGGCTACCCTAAAACCCAAAACCCCAAAACCCCAAAACCCCAAAACCCCAAAACCCCTAAGCCCCTAAGCCCCTAAACCCCTAAACCCCTAAACCCCTAAACCCCTAAACCCGACTGCACGGTGTGAGGACCCGTGGGGCTCTGGGCTCTGGGGAGATGATCTCATGACAAAGGCCATGTGCACAACTCGCAACATAGCCCAAAATACCATAGAATCCATTTTTAAAGGCTCCCCCTTTTTCGGGGAAACCTCCATATCAGTAGGACCCTAAAGCCTAACCCCCAAAAAGGCACCTGTATCTTTGGAACCGCCCATACCAGTAGCCACACAGCAAAAAAAGGTCCTCGCCCTGCTTGCTGGCAGGCATGTGGGTGTCCCCCTCCTGGTCGGCGCAGTGCTGTAGGGTTGAGGGTTCAGGGTAGGCAAACCGGGTAAACTCCCCTCAACCCTGAAACGCCGAGACCCTTTCGAGCGCGGAATTGACACCTCAACCCTAATCCCCACACGCGTGGAACATGCTCCACGGATCAACCTTCACATTCGAGGCTTGGTTTCACTCTCAAGGGCACACAGGTACGAGGTGAGTAGTTGCCAGTGGGTGGCCTAGGTTTTTGGCGAGGCCTACTGTGGCACACCCGAAGCCCGAAACCCTAAACCACTCAGAAAAGGAAGGCCTACCGAGAAACCCCTTCCTTGGATTGTTCCGTTTGCCTTCCGCGTGCCGACATGGCTTCACTGCACGCAAGAGGTGCTGCCTGCAAACTCACTTTGCAGCACGTTTCCTGGCTTTGAGCATGTGTTGTCAGGCAAATGACGGACGCTATACTATGCCCCAAAACCCATTAAACCCCAAACCCTCAACCCGATCCTCGGGCGGGAGGAAGTCTTGTGCGCGCAGCTGCAAGGATGCTTCTTTCGCCTTCCGCCGGGAAAACCTCAGAACAGTGGTAGGGCTTTCGGGTTGTTTAGGCTTTTGGTTTAGGGTGCTAGGGCTTTGGGTTAGGGCCTTTTGCCGTGTGTGTCTAGGGCATCATGAAGATCTCCACTTGATGTTTCGTCTCGGTTAGTTGCAGTGGGTTTGAACCACCAAGGAACTCCGCAACTAAGGCTCATCTCAGCCTTAAAGAAGCCTGAGCCCTGGATGCCACTACACCCTGAACTCCGAAGCTACAAGTATGGGTTTACTAAGTGGGGGGGGGGGGGGGCATGTACTATTGGGGGGACATCCCGACCTAAACCCTCAAAAGAACCCTTTTTGCACCTGGGCCTTCTTGCTTCTCAACCCGGACCCCTAAACCCGAAAACGCCAATGCCCGGAACACATAACCCCTTCAACCCCCTAAAGCCCTTCAACCCTTAACCACTAAACCCTTAAACTCCATATGGGTTTGTATTTTAATGGGGAGGCGCGTGAAACGTGTTGGAGTCGGGGTATGTTTCGGGGATGTTTCGCGGCATCAGGAGCTACTTTACCTGCAATTTCGGGGGTATGTTACGGGGTATGTTTCGGGGGTATGTTTCGTGGTATGTTTCGGGGTATGTTTCGCGGGTGTGCAACCCGTGTGCCATTCTTAAACCTGAGCCCCCCCAAAAAACACAAACCCATATCCCAAACCCCGTAATCCCCGCAAAAAAACCCCTAAAAAGCCCTTGCAGAGCCCTAAAGCTCCTAAAGCCCCTGAACCCTTAAACCTCTGAAGCTCCCCCCTTAGCCCTGGATCGCCTGGATACCCTAAACCCCAAACCCTAGACCCTAAACCCTAGACCCTAAACCCTAAACCTTAAACCCTAAACCCTAAACCCTGAACCCTAAACCCTAAACCTTAAACCCTAGACCCTAGACCCTAAACCCTAAACCCTAAATCCTAAGCCCCCAAAAAAGCTGCACTCCGGCGGCGTGAGGCTTGACAAGGTCTGGTAGCCTGAGGGCTTGAGGGGGTCTTATACTGGGGTTTAGGGTTTGAGGTCTTAGGGTACACTGTAGAGGGTTTAAGGTGTAGTTATTTGGCTTGATTCGAGACAGGGTTCCTTGCATTTGGGGTTTAGAGACCTCGCCTTTTGAGGCTCTTGGCTTCCTTTCTCCTGGTGTCTTCGAACTTCGAAGCATGCTTTTCACGATCTCAGGGCGAATCCAGGAGTTTCGGGTTGTTTGCTTTTTGTTTTCTTTGGGTAGGTCGGGGGGCTGGACATTGAACCTCTTGCATTGGGGGGCTTTGGCGAAAGAAGCTTCTGGGAATTGGCAAAGGTGAGCTGCCTTTCTGCCCAGCCAAACTCTGCCGTGCCCAAGGGCTGACTTTATTCAGGTTCGGCCTCCGCATCCTCCTCCAACCGATTTTCATCAAGTTTCGAGAGTGTGGGCTTCGAGAAATGAAGTCGAGCACCAGGGTAGGAGCCCCCCAACGAAGATCACATGCATAAAGCCCTACTTAGAACTACCCATGAACCTCCAAACACTGCTTTACGACCATCCCTGCATAAACCGGTGGGCCCCAGAGCGAAAACAAGTGCAGACTGGATCCTCACTACTAAGGGAACCAGACAGCCCAAAGCCACGCTTGAATTCAGGGATGTTCCTTAAACCATACAAGGAGCCCCGATGTAAATTAAAGCTCCATCGGTGAAGGAGTCAAAGCTGCTTTCGATGAGAACCTTAAGACCACAAAGTGGAACCCCAAGCCCTGCACAACTCTCTGCCCTGGGGTTAAGAAAAACGAAAAAGCACCTTTCCTTTGGGGGGGATCGCCCATCGCATGCAGAAGGGCCAACGCGTTTGGAGGTCTCCCGGTCCGGAAAGACGACCTTCAGCCACTGCAGTCTTATCAGGCTCGGGTTTTCAAGGTTTAGGGTCTAGTACGATTTAAGGTTTAGACCCTTGAATCAAGAGATGGTAGGCCAAAAAAAGACTACGTACTATGGGTGGGTATTCGGGGCACTTAATATGAAGCATAAGATTATAAGAGGGACTACAAGAGGATGAGAGCAGTCATCCAGGCTCCTGTAGTACTCCCCCCTCAGCCCCCTTCACTCTAGAATACTCCTTGGATCGTACTCGGTTTAAAAAATCTTGCTTAACCTCCTTAGCCAGGTTTCCCACTCAAGGGGCTCGTGTCCCAGCTAAAGTGGACATGGCCATCACAAGCACGCAAAGACCACTGCCAGCGAGCAGTCGTTCACCCGCGCGCCTCCTTCCCCTCCCCTCAAACCGGTGCAGGGTTTAGGGTTTAGGGTTTAGGGCTTGGGGCTTAGGGTTTAAGGCTTAGGGTTTAGGGTTTAGGGCGAGCATGCGCCTTGCAAACGCGGCTCTCCCGGTTGACGGAGATCACGGTGCCTTCGGCGCGGTCGCGCTTGAGGGTGACGGTGTCGAACCTGAGAGGGGCTTCCTAAACACTTTTTTTGAAGCCGACCCTAAAGCCAAAATAACCCCTCTAAGCCCAAGAGACCTCAAACCTACAAAGCCCCGCGAACCTCAAGTAACGGGGAAGGCAAACTATCGGACCGTTCCGCCAGTCTTCGGGTGTGGTCTACGGATGAACTGATCCCTTTAAGAACGGCTTGAAGAAACCACGCTTCAGGGCTTTACTTTTCCCCGGGAATGAAGTTCCCAGATTGAGAGTTCGGGAGAGTTCGTGGCCAGTGACTGGAGGTCGAGAGCCTCCAAACCCAAAGTTCCCGGAAATGAGCCAAAAGAAGAGGATTCCCCAAATGAGCCAAAAGAAGAGGTGTTCGTGGTTTTAGGGTGTACTGGCCAGTGAGAAAGGCCACGCAGATCCCCGCCTTGCTAGAGAGATCGCGAGGAAGCCGATCTTGTCCTGCAAGCAACAGCAACAACAATACCAGACCATGTAGTCGGGCTTTGTTTTCGGTATCGTATGCTTAGAACGACACCTACATGCACCCCCACACCATAATTAGAAGGAACACAACATAAGCTCGCCAAGAGAACTGAAAAGGACCCTCTCTCGTCGGACACCCCAGCTGAGGGAACAACAAGGTGGTTTGAGGATGTTTCTGGTTCTTTGTGGGATGACGCCAGACAGCTGCCTCGAAGGGCGCAGGCTGCGGGCAGGGTTTGTGGTTTGGGGCTCGTTGTTCGGTTGCCTGTCCTGTTTTGAACATGTGCGGCAAGGTTGCCGAAGTTCCTCATATTTGCAAGAGCTCGATTTACCTGAAGACTTGCTTTCGCATCACCTTCCTCATTCTGTATGCTGTGAGTCCAGTGTTGCCAGGGTTTTATGCCTAGACCCTAAACCCTAAACCCTAAACCCTGAAACCTAAAGCTTGCTTTGACTGTCAGAAGCCGGTCCCCAAATCGTCCCCAACCATGCAATCTGCCCAGCCGGTCCTTCTCCGGACTGGGTAAGAACAAATCACCGCAAAGGCACTTGTCAATCTTCGTCCTTGGCGTCGCAAGTTATATCTGCAAACTGTATATTCATATACAAAATATTTATATATATATATGTATGTATATAATATGCATATATGCATATACTATGTGTATATATATATATATATATACACATACCATGCATGCCCCAGATGTGTTTCACCCAGAACTGGCAGGGGGGGGGTGGGGGCGGGGACGCTGCAGGTTCTGGCCGTGGTTCCGCGTCTCGTCCAGCTCCCATCGGAAAACAACTGGCTCGGCCTTAGAATGATAGGGTTAACCTGGGACTCGATTTACCTACAGTCTAATGGGAATTGCCCCTAAATTAGTAGGTAGAACCCATCAAGCTGTAGGTAAATGGGGTCAAAGGAACGGTTTAGAGTCGACGCGCTTTCGGGTTGTTTGGGGGGGGTTTCAGGCTGTTCGGGTTGCTTGTGGCTTTGAAAGCTCCGGATATCTCCGGATGCTGGAAAGCCCTGCCTTCTCAAGGCTTTTGCACAAAAACAAACTCCCTCCGCACATCCCCACCCTAAACCTTAAGATTAAACCCTATAAACCCCTTAAGACCCCGAAGTAGACCCCATGAACCCCCCCCCCCCCGCACTCTGCGGCTGTCCCAGTGGCACGCTCCTCCTCCGAAACCCAATGGTCACGCCGCAGCTCCGCCAGGGAGTCGTCTAAAGCCTGGGTCTGATCCCCAGGCAGGGATTCAGGGGTGTTGACGTGCCTTTTTTGGGGTTTTTGAAGGGTTTTGGTAGGGGTTTGTTTAGATTCTTCGGGGTTTTTAGGGTTGTGGGTTTTGCTACGCAAGGTTTTTTGAGGTTCCTTGGTCTGTAGGGCTTTGGGACTGCTCTGGGGTTTTCAGGGTGTAGATCCCCGCATGAAGATGAAGACCCGCTTGCCCAATTAACTCCACCACAGACCATCGGCATCCACTGTGCCTTTGAGGCTTTCAACCTACAATCGCGCGAAGCACGTTAAATTAAGCGGCTTACTTCAGTGCATACACCGTGGCCCCCTTTAGTGTATGCAGCCCTCTCTTTTCATGTGAAGGAGAGGGTGGCTGTCAGAACAAACAGAACACTTCAGACCGAGAAACGTACTCCTTGACCTTGACTTCCGTTGTGGGCGCTTCCTTCGACTGGTTCTTCTTGATCTTGTCCAACGCCCGCGAGCCCTGCCAAACTCCAGCTGCAAACGCGTGCGCTAGGGAACGCTTTGGTGTGGGTTGAAGCCAAAAAAGCCCAGTCAAGCATTTTCTTCGAAACCCCTCGCCTTTCTCTAAAGCCTGAGCGCCTGAACTTAAAGCACCTGCTCTCGAGAACGTACCCACCGCAACCGGGATGTTCGGTAGGCCTTGAAGTGTTGCTTCCAATACTCCTCCATCTCCGTTTGCACCTTTCCTTGCGCAGATTCACACGTGTCAACTTAATGTCGTCAGTCTCGCACACCAGTGTCAAATTTATTAAGAGGGGTTCTTATGCACTTTCTAATAAGAATAGTGATACGTTGCACTCATGTAAATGCAACGCCACAGTGGTCCATCGAACATCCCTGTACTGGTGGCAGCACTGATTGGAATGTGCCCTGCACATACAAGGCTTTATGTAGCTTCAGCAAGGTTGTCCCAGGTAATACCTGAACACCAATATAATGGCTACCATTGATCCTTCAAGTAGAACCCCTGCTTTCAACCATCAGCTTTCGGACTTGTAGGAATGTCCTCGCGACCCGTAGTACTTGACCTCGTTGTAGTCCTGCCATCACTAGACCAGACCGCAGGACTGACGTCGGTCGTAGCTGCAGCTTTTGCAGAAACACTCTCTCTCCCTCTCCCTCCCTCTCCCCTCCGTTTGAGTTGGAGGGGGGGTAGGGATGTTCGGAACCGCAGTGTAGCAGTTTCAGCTGGCGCGCCCCTACCCCACCCCCACTCACCCACCCCAGCAAGGATTCGCGCTCGCCAAGACCAACGACCACCCAAAGGCAAGATGGCAATTGGGCCGAGCACGCTCTGACGCACATGAGTATGGAGTGGGGATGCAATGCATATGCATTCTGTTGCAGTGTGCTGGAATGCTCTGCCACGCAGAGTTGCTTGTAGCCGCGGGAAGTTGCGGAGACACGAACGGTCACCTCTGACAGTACGGCTTTAAAAGTGAGATGAGAAGCAATTCGTAGCAGAAAGCACCCCAAGGGCCGAGGCACATGGAGCCACGATTGCAAAAGCATGGCGGCACTGGTTTCTTGGTCGTGGGGTCATTTCTCTGCCGCTGCTGTCTGCAGGCGCCCTGGACGCATGACAGTGGATTGCTGTGCTGTGGCTGCGCGTCTCCTTCTACCATCTACCAGTTCAATGAATGAAGCATGCCGGGCGATTGCTTCCTGAAAAATCTTCTGGCTGTGCAGGCAAAAGCAACCTACAAGCTCATACGCTTCAACGCCTGAAGTTGATCGGTCTTGCCTCCCTCCCCATTTCAAACGCCGGACAGACTCCAATGTTGCACAGAAAAAATGGGTTTAGTGTGTTTAGCATTTTTTTTGCCACCAGCCAAGCAGACCAGCCACACTGCCGGGTCGGGTTTAGGGTCTTTTGCGTTTGCTTAGGGTTCTAGGGTGACGTCTGCTTGCCCGCCCTGCTTGTTGCAACTCGGGTGCATGCTGGCACAAACAATGGACAAAACAGCTCTGCGCTACTCCCTAAACCCTGAACTCTAAACCCTAAACCCTAAACCCTAAACCCTAAACATCCCTAAACCCTCAACCCTAAACCCTGCCTTATCCACCAACATGGCCGCGTAGTCGCCGCCATCGAGCTCGGAAAACTTGCCCTTCGCTTCGTCAATCTTCTCAAAAGCCTCCCCTCAGCACGCGTTCCGGCGGAGTCAGCTGTCAAGTGCATCCTTGGGTTTAGGGTTTAGGGTTTAGGGTCCTTACCTACACCCCCAAAAATGCCGGCGCCAGAGGCCTGTTGGTATAATGTCATACGGCACCCTGTCATATGACAAGGACCGGAGAGCAACAAGTCCTAGTTCGAGCTATGTATACAACCGACTCCTACTTCTGAGGGCGGCGCAAAAAGGTAACACCTAGGAGACCTCACTGAACACACACACACACATCATGCGATGCGCCTTTGACTTGGCCCCAGTCGACATGCCAAAGCACTGTGAATACCTCGGGGGCGGTTGGTTGCAACCCCTCCGAAGAGTGCAGCTCACAGGCTTGCCATGCCCTTCATTGCGGCCCAGAAGCCTCTTGGCTTGCCATGCCCCGAATTTTGGACTCCAAGCTGTACACCGCCGAAACGAAGGGTTCGGAGTGGAAAGGCTTGGATGCCTGCGTACGTGCCACAGATAAACCATGCCTTGACAACGATGCGGTCTTTGGCGCCCCGGCGCCGATACCCGAACGATGGCCCAATTCGCGATCCTCCCTTAATAAGCATATTTTCTTGACTTCATTCCTTGTAGAGCATTTTGTTCTTAATGTTTTTTGTCTTTTTTGGCGGAGGGTTTTTCTGGGCAGGCAACATGAAATAACATGGACAACCCGCGCCTGCAGCGGGCGCGGTGCGCCGGCGCGAGAGTGGAAAGTTGCCCGAGCATCTTCCTGCGGCCCCGCAATGCGACGCAATACGTTCTGTTCTGGGTTGGCCTTTAAACCATCCGACAATATATATATATATATGTAAGAGGGACCTTTAGGTACTATGTGATTACTTTCCTTTCTTGGAGAAGGAGGTTAAATAGTTTAGATAGTTTAGATAGTTCAGGAAGCCCCTGAACTATCTAAACTATCTAACCTCGATTTTGGGAAAACAGGAGGTTAGATAGTTTAGATAGTTTAGATAGTTTAGACGAGCCCCTAAACTATCTAAACTATCTAACCTCGATTTTGGGAAAAAAGGAGGTTAGATAGTTTAAATAGTTTAGATAGTTTAGAATGCTTCAATTCCCTCTGGGTCGTCCCCAGCCAGAGGTTAGATAGTTTAGATAGTTTAGATAGTTCAGGAAGCCCCTGAACTATCTAAACTATCTAAACTATCTAACCTCTTTCCGGGGAGGCCCCCAGGAGGTTTGAAACTTTCTAAACTATCTAAACTATCTAAACTATCTAAACTATCTAAACTATCTAACCTCGATTTTGGGAGAAAAGGAGGTTAGATTTTAGATAGTTTAGATAGTTTAGATAGTTTAGACGAGCCCCTAAACTATCTAAACTATCTAACCTCGATTTTGGGAAAAAAGGAGGTTAGATAGTTTAGATAGTTTATATAGTTTAGATAGTTTAGAAAGTTTCAATTCCCTCTGGGTCGTCCCCAGCCAGAGGTTAGATAGTTTAGATAGTTTAGATAGTTCAGGAAGCCCCTGAACTATCTAAACTATCTAAACTATCTAACCTCTTTCCGGGGAGGCCCCCAGAAGGTTTGAAACTTTCTAAACTATCTAAACTATCTAAACTATCTAAACTATCTAAACTATCTAAACTATCTAACCTCGATTTTGGGAGAAAAGGAGGTTAGATAGTTTAGATAGTTTAGATAGTTTAGATAGTTTAGATAGTTTAGATAGTTTAGATAGTTTAGATTTTAGACGAGCCCCTAAACTATCTAAACTATCTAACCTCGATTTTGAGAAAAAAGGAGGTTAGATAGTTTAGATAGTTTAGATAGTTTAGATAGTTTAGAAAGTTTCAATTCCCTCTGGGTCGTCCCCAGCCAGAGGTTAGATAGTTTAGATAGTTTAGATAGTTCAGGAAGCCCCTGAACTATCTAAACTATCTAAACTATCTAACCTCTTTCCGGGGAGGCCCCCAGGAGGTTTGAAACTTTCTAAACTATCTAAACTATCTAAACTATCTAGCCTCGATTTTGGGAGAAAAGGATGTTAGATAGTTTAGATAGTTTAGATAGTTTAGTGTAGTTTAGACGAGCCCCTAAACTATCTAAACTATCTAACCTCGATTTTGGGAAAAAAGGAGGTTAGATAGTTTATATAGTTTAGATAGTTTAGAAAGTTTCAATTCCCTCTGGGTCGTCCCCAGCCAGAGGTTAGATACTTTAGATAGTTTAGATAGTTCAGGAAGCCCCTGAACTATCTAAACTATCTAAACTATCTAACCTCTTTCCGGGGAGGCCCCCAGAAGGTTTGAAACTTTCTAAACTATCTAAACTATCTAAACTATCTAACCTCGATTTTGGGAGAAAAGGAGGTTAGATAGTTTAGATAGTTTAGATAGTTTAGATAGTTTAGACGAGCCCCTAAACTATCTAAACTATCTAACCTCGATTTTGAGAAAAAAGGAGGTTAGATAGTTTAGATAGTTTAGATAGTTTAGATAGTTTAGCTAGTTTAGAAAGTTTCAATTCCCTCTGGGTCGTCCCCAGCCAGAGGTTAGATAGTTTAGATAGTTTAGATAGTTCAGGAAGCCCCTGAACTATCTAAACTATCTAAACTATCTAACCTCTTTCCGGGGAGGCCCCCAGGAGGTTTGAAACTTTCTAAACTATCTAAACTATCTAAACCATCTAAACTATCTAACCTCGATTTTGGGAGAAAAGGATGTTAGATAGTTTAGATAGTTTAGATAGTTTAGATAGTTTAGATAGTTTAGATAGTTTAGACGAGCCCCTAAACTATCTAAACTATCTAACCTCGATTTGGGAAAAACGGAGGTTAGATAGTTTAGATAGTTTAGATAGTTTAGAAAGTTTCAATTCCCTCTGGGTCGTCCCCAGCCAGAGGTTAGATACTTTAGATAGTTTAGATAGTTCAGGAAGCCCCTGAACTATCTAAACTATCTAAACTATCTAACCCCTAGCTGAGCAGTCCTCCCTGAATCGGTTTTCCAAAAACTTACAGGGGGACACTGCTTGCGAGTTGTCATTTTGGGAGCTCAGTTTTCCAAAAACTGAAGGGGGACACTGCTTGCGATTTGTCATTTTGGGAGCTCAGTTTTCCAAAAGCTTAAGGGGGACACTGCTTGCGATTTGTCATTTCGGGAGCGCAGTTTTCCAAAAAACTTAAGGGGGACACTGCTTGCGATTTGTCATTTTGGGAGCTTAGTTTTCCAAAAGTTTAAGGGGGACACTGCTTGCGATTTGTCATTTTGGAAGCGCATTTTTCCAAAAAACTTACGGGGGACACTGCTTGCGATTTGTCATTTTGGGAGCTTAGTTTTCCAAAAGCTTAAGGGGGACACTGCTTGCGATTTGTCATTTTGGAAGCGCATTTTTCCAAAAAACTTGCGGGGGACACTGCTTGCGATTTGTCATTTTGGGAGCTGAGTTTTCCAAAAGCTTAAGGGGGACACTGCTTGCGATTTGTCATTTTGGGAGCGCAGTTTTCCAAAAAACTGAAGGGGGACACTGCTTGCGATTTGTCATTTTGGGAGCTCAGTTTTCCAAAAGCTTAAGGGGGACACTGCTTGCGATTTGTCATTTCGGGAGCGCGGTTTTCCAAAAAACTTTCGGGGGACACTGCTTGCGATTTGTCATTTTGGGAGCTTAGTTTTCCAAAAGCTTAAGGGGGACACTGCTTGCGATTTGTCATTTTGGAAGCGCAGTTTTCCAAAAAACTTTCGGGGGACACTGCTTGCGATTTGTCATTTTTGGAGCTGAGTTTTCCAAAAGCTTAAGGGGGACACTGCTTGCGATTTGTCATTTTGGGAGCGCAGTTTTCCAAAAAACTTACGGGGGACACTGCTTGCGATTTGTCATTTTGGGAGCTTAGTTTTCCAAAAGCTTAAGGGGGACACTGCTTGCGATTTGTCATTTTGGAAGCGCATTTTTCCAAAAACTTAAAGGGGACACTGCTTGCGATTTGTCATTTTGGGAGCGCAGTTTTCCAAAAATCTTACGGGGAAACTGCTTGCGATATGTCATTTTGGGAGCGCAGTTTTCCAACAACTTCAGGGGGGACACTGCTTGCGATTTGTTATTTTGGGAGCTCAGTTTTTCAAAAACTTAAGGGGGACACTGCTTGCGATTTGTCATTTTGGGAGCTCGGTTTTCCAAAAACTTAGAGGGGGACACTGCTTGCGATTTGTCATTTTGGGAGCTCAGTTTTTCAAAAATTTGCGGGGGACACTGCTTGCGATTTGTCATTTTGGGAGCTTTGTTTTCCAAAACTTAAGGGGTACACTGCTTGTAAGAGAACCCTTTATGTATTATTTGACCCGTGGCCTTGGTGAGGATCTTGGTCTGTATTCCTTATTCCTTATTCAATATTCCTTATTCCTTATTCCTTATTCTCTATTCCCTATTCTCTATTCCCTATTCCTTAATCCTTACCCCTTGTTCCTTACCTAGTCTAGGGTTTAGGGTTTGGGGTTTCTGGGTTTAGGGTTGAGGGTTTAGGGTTGAGGTAGGGTTTGGGGTTTAGGGTTTAGGGTTTGGGGGTTTGGGGGTTTAGGGGTTTAGGATTTGGGGTTTAGGGTAGCTCAGGGTTGAGGGTTTGTGGTTTTGGCTGAGGGTTAAGGGGTTTGCGGTTTAAGAGTTTAGGGTTTGTGATTTGGGGTTAGGGTTTGGAGTTTAGAGGGTTTGGGGTTTAGGGATTTAGGATTTGGGGTTTAGGGTTTGGGGTCGGTTTGGGGGGTATTTAAGCGTCTCCGGATTTAGCGGTTTAAATGGCTTAGCTTTGACTTGAGGAGTCGGGCTTTGAGGACGCGTAGAGGTTCGGATTTAGGGTCTGAACCATAAACCCTAAACCCTAAACCCTGAACCCTAAACCCTAAGAGGGACTTTACAATGCTCCTACCCTCTTCCGTTTTGTGTGGCATTTCAAGACTTTGGCAGGGCGCCAAGGGGCTCCCGGCAAATCTCAACCCGCAAAGTTGTTCCTACCCTCTTCCTTTTTGTGTGGTATTTGCAGGACTTTGGCAGGGCGCCAAGGGAACCCCGGCAAATTTCGACATGCAAAGTTGTTCTTACCCTCTTCCGTTTTGTGTGTTATTTACAGGACTTTTTGCAGGGCGCCAAGGGGATCCCGGCAAATTTCGACCCGCAAAGTTGTTCCTACCCTCTTCCGTTTTGTGTGGTATTCGCAGGACTTTGGCAGGGCGCCAAGGGGATCCCGGCAAATTTCGACCTGCAAAGTTGTTCCTACCCTCTTCCGTTTTGTGTGGTATTTACAGGACTTTTTGCAGGGCGCCAAGGGGATCCCGGCACATCTCAACCCGCAAAGTTGTTCCTACCCTCTTCCGTTTTGTGTGGCATTTGCAGGACTTTCGCAGGGCGCCAAGGGGATCCCGGCAAATCTCAACCCGCAAAGTTGTTCCTACCCTCTTCCGTTTTGTGTGGTATTTGCAGGACTTTGGCAGGGCGCCAAGGGGATCCCGGCAAATTTCGACCTGCAAAGTTGTTCCTACCCTCTTCCGTTTTGTGTGTTATTTGCAGGACTTTTTGCAGGGCGCCAAGGGGATCCCGGCAAATTTCGACCCGCAAAGTTGTTCCTACCCTCTTCCGTTTTGTGTGGTATTTGCAGGACTTTGGCAGGGCGCCAAGGGGATCCCGGCAAATTTCGACCTGCAAAGTTGTTCCTACCCTCTTCCGTTTTGTGTGGTATTTACAGGACTTTTTGCAGGGCGCCAAGGGGATCCCGGCACA